GCCCCTTGTGTGTCGCCATCTTTCGAGACCGAAAGACACAGACGATTGTATTAGATCACTGGATCTAGTAAGTGGTAGCTTTCCCATTTTCTTTATTTGATTTGACAATTGTTTTGAGTTTGCTGCCTCAAAATGGAGAAAAAAAATTCATGATTTTCTAAGTAGTTTTTCATTCAATTTAACATGAATAGATATTTCAAAAGAAAAGTTGAAGGAGATAAGCACAAAATAATATGTGAAGAAAACAATACTCAAATCAAACATAGCTGTATAGAAATTAAATTTGTTTTTATAATGATTCTAATGATTTAAAAAAAAAAATTTAAAACCCTGGTGGGCAAGTTTGTTAGAATTTGGATATTTTAGTAGCTCTATAATCTCTAGTTTATTTCAATGTGTATTGGCAAAAAATCTAAAATAATTCAAAAATTAGATCATGAGATTTTCCTGTCTCGGCTAAACACGATATAACCTATCCTAATCAGATTTGGTTGTGACACAATTTTTGGGTCTCTTCAATTTAGGTTATGATAAAGCCTACCTCAAATTAGAAATGGAGCAAAAGAAGACTTCAAGTGCACTATTAATGCTTATAGAGTAATATATATCATCAATGCATCCTACCTTTTCTAAAGAAAATAAAATAAAACTCTCTTGAAATAGTGTAAAATACTTTATAAATATCAAACTTGGCATAAAAAATAGCACTAGATAAGTTTAATTCTCCCAAAAGCTCAGAAACAAGCAAAATATTATTCATAGAAATTCTCTTGTGAATAAAACTTTCTTAGTTTGGATGTATAATGTGTCACATGATGTGTGTGATTCTACTACTAAGACATTTGCAATAATTCATAAAAATCATTGCAAAGAGATATTCAATTAGTAATATTGCTAGCTTGTGTGTTTTGGGGAATCAAAGCTATGGTTGTAGCTTTGACACTCCTTGGCAAATGACATTTTTTAAAGTTATTTTTAACCAGCATGAAAACATGTTGATTAATGATATCTTAAGAACTTTTGTAAAACTCAAAGTCATATCCATCAAGGCAGGGGCTAAGGAGTTAGGGGTATAAAAAATAATATGTCTAATTTTATCATTAGTCATAGGAGCAACAAAAAAGCATGAGAGGTGAATAGGAATAGTTTTACTAGTTGGGATAGCGGGAAGGTCAAGCTGAAAAGAGTTTGGGGCATTAAAAATATTTTGGAATTGCTAGATAATGTCATTGGTGATGTTTTAGGGTGAGCAGAAGTACCCATATGGGGTGTAAATTTCATTATTCTTGTTGCATATTTTTCTTGTTCTAATATTATAAAACAAGAATTTTAGGTCATCTTTCAAAATTGAAAGCCACTTGGCTTTGAATCTTTGGATAATCTAAGAATCCCATGAAGTGTAACATGAAGCAAGCTAGGTTTTAATCATTTTTAGATTGGAGTTCAGAGAATGATTTAATGAGTTGTTTTGAAGTTGCTAAGACGTAAGTTTGATAGTTTAGAAGGTCACCAATGGTTGTAGAGATGAAAGTAGAGGTAACCTACTTTTTTATTTTATAAGGATTTTCTATTTTTGGATCTTGAGGTATAGTGATGAAATAGGTTGTAGACAAGATTAAGTGAAAAAATAGAGATAAGGGCTTCCCAAAAACTAGCCTTTTTGGTTCAATAGTTTTGAATAAAAATTTATGATTTTTTGTTGGGAAAAGAGTTATTGAGTAAAATAAGTGGGAAGTGACTAGAACACCTTAGGTTATCGATTTTGTAAAGTAAGGTAGGATAGGTCTCAAGTCACAAATCATTCACTAAGATTCTATCCAATTTGATGTAGATATGATTATCAATTCTCTGATTAAACCTTGTATGGTTGTGACCAACAAAAGTAAGATCATGAACACCAGCATTGAAAATAAGATTGTTAAAATCCCAGAGCTTGCTATTGTGAATGTAATTTCCATGTAATTTTTCATTATTATACATGCAACAATTAACGTCTCCAATAATGGATTAGGGTTGAGAGATGTTATCAACAATATTCTTAATTTGTTGCCAAAGAATCAACATTTCTTCATGAGAATTAGAATTATAAATCACTTGAATTTGGCATATGAGAAGTGAACCAGATATAAGAGTGGCATGAATCAATTGTCTGGAGTGAATGAGGGGTAAAAGGAGACATTATAAGGGTTCCCTTTTATCCATATTCTTTAAATTCTAGAAGAATCAAAGTTATTAATACTAGCTTCATTCTCAAAAACTTTGTGAGAAACATAGAACAAGGGATCATAAGTCACTGAGTTGTAAATATTGGCCTCCATAATGCACATCATATTAAGGTCGTGAGTGTGAACAAGCTCTTTACAACTAAAGACATTTTCAAGATTATTAAATCATATATTATTCTAGGCAGTATTGTAAGGAAAGGTCATTGGATTTTGGTATTTGGGTTTGTTATCTTTAGCTTTAGTGGATTTGGAGGATAGAGAAGAAGGATAATGAGATTGAGGCACCTTTGTTTCTGAAAAGTTTTTTCTGATATAAGCTTAATATGAGGGTCTTCAGATTATAAGGCAATGAACTTATTGTGGGTGAGCAAATGAGAGGAATCTTCTGGTAGAATAACCATGGAGAGGTCGGTGAAGGGTTGTTGATCTTCAAAAGGGGAGTTAAGTTTTGAGATAAGGTCTTTCTAAAGGTGGAGGAGGTGGCGGTAAGCAACATTGGATCAATAGAAGATGGGGGTTTAGATAGTACTAAAGACGTGGGGTTATGTAATATTAAAGGGGAGGTGGTAGCTAGAGTGGATCGAATAATGTAGGAGGAGGAGGGGTTAGAGACAAAGAGATGTGGAGAAGGCTTATTAGGTTTATAACAAGTGCTTTATCACCTTAGCTTGGTGACAATAGGTGGATGGGTAGGTGATTTGATGTTGCATAGTTTAAGTGGATATACTAAAGAGCCACAACCATCACAGGAAGTTGAATTTCACTCATATTGAACCTTTAAACAATATTTTCTCTAGCCACAAAAATAGTAATTTCATCTATGAGGGAAGATTCATTTTGAATTTGAACACATACCCATGCAATAACGATATGAGTTTTCTCCAAAGTTAAAGAGTCAATTGCATGGGGGTAGCCAATGGAGCTGGCAATTTTAAATGTGTCGTCAGGATTCCAGCATGAGGGGGGGAGATTGTGAATTTTGATTCAAAGGAGTATAGAAGAAACTCATCTCTTTTAAGTCTGAACAAGGGGTACCATATCTGGGTGATGAATGGTTTCCCTAATAAAAATTAAGGTCTACCTATCCATGCCATATCATAATCCTTACGAGTTGAGAATTTGAGGAAGGAAAAACCTTCACTCAATGAAAAGAAAATCATTGTATCTTTGAGTAACCAAGTCTTTTGGATGGCTAAAAGTAGAGCATCATACTATGACCTCCTTTCAACAGAGTATCTGATAAGGGATAAACTCTACTCCTTGGAGCCCTCAGAGATCTCATCATCGAAGAAATGGATAAACTTGTCCTAAGGGAAGTATTTGGAAAAGAGGTTAAGAGCCATAAGAAGGCTTTCCAGTTAAGGGAGGTTGGGCCTTCAAATAATGTCGGAGGTGAGGAGCTAGCAGGGGAATTGGTGGTGTGGTTAGTGAGGGGTGACAAGGCAACAAGACCTACAAAACATATTAGAGCAAAGGGGAGGAGGGAGAGCCCCCTCTTGAGGAGAGGAGAATGTAGACAACACTACAAGTTGACTAGAGTTTAACTCCAAACCCTAACCATGCCCCCCCCCCCCCCCAAAAGCTTCACCTAGTCAAAAAAATTGAAATTTTTTTCACAATTTTGAAAATAAAAGAAATTAATATTGAGTATCATTTTATGGTACAAAATCATTATAATATAGTTATATTTCAGATGATTTTTTTATCATTTATCATTTTATAAAATTTATAATATTTAATTATTATTTTATCTTTCAAAAATAATAGTAATAATGATCAAATTCACACTAAAATTACATATCATAAATTATTATTCTACTAAAAATAAATCTTCTCATAAAAGCTTACATAAGCATTAACCGCAAGTTTTATATTTATATACTATGACTAAGGTTTTGTTTGGGACTTCTTTTGTAATGTTTCATAAAGCAGTTTTTTTAGTACAGAAATTTTTATTTTTTTATAAAAAAAATTATTTTAAGAAGCAGTAAATATGTCATCCTAAACAAAGCCTAAAACTTCCAAGAAACTGGAAAACAATGACAGTTGTTTTCCCTAGAATTTTATCATCCTTGAACAACTATCAGTTGGAAGGGAGTCTGCCACTACACCTTGAAGAGTTTCAATAACATCTTTTTAAATCATTAGTGCCTTTATTACAATTTTACCAATTAATACGGATAAATGATGTTTGCCATTTAATTTTAAGTATAAGAATATTACCTACAACTCTGTAGCCTTGCAGTCTTTATTACAACTATTTAGCATATTTTAAGTGCTCTTGTCACCTTGAATATATTGGTTATACCCCATAGAGCTCAATAGTTGCTACTTGTGCATCTACTCATACAGGCTTCATTTAAGACGGCTTCTTTTTTTGCTTCTTAAAATAGAATTTTAATATAAAAATTAATTTTTTTTTACTAAAATTCCATTTAAAAAAGCAATAAAAAAACTGTTCCAAATGAAGCCATAATCAAACCGCACTTTAAAATTCTTAATTATTTCACATATGTAACTAATGTTTCGTCTGGAACAGCAAAAATTTCTCACTGCTTTTTAAAATAATTTTCTTATATAATTTTTTTTAAAATTAAAAATTTTTGTATTATAAATCTGCTTTAAATCAATAAAAAAACTATCACAAACAAAACCTAAACCTACTTATTTGCATCAATCCAAAGCTTGAGTGTGCATTTGATTTCAACTTTCAATGGCATTTTTTTAGTATGCTGCAAGGTACAAAAAAAAAAAAAAAAACAACAACATTACAAATAAGGAACTCAAAGCATTTTCACTGATTTCCCTAATCAGAAGAATCTGGTATCAGTTATATAACGCTTTCTAACCTTGAAACTAATAGAAATTCCATTTCATTGGAAGAACAATTCAGTTATTGGGGAGGGAAATGTGACTGCCCGTTCAACTTTTGGACATTGGAAAACTGTGGAAAAATCTGTTTCAAGATGAGTTATGACAAGAAATAGGCAGCCCTAGGAGAAAAACTCAAACTTGATGCAGCAGCAATTGGCAGCTTTGAATTTACACAAATCTCTACAGCGTATAAAGCTCAGACGTGCAGACCACATGGAGTCGTCGTTAAGATATATACATACCGCTTTCTTCACCACTTTGTGTCTGGCTCTGCGCATCATGCATCAAAGTAGAATATTCAGAAGATCCGGAGAGAAATGGAGGATGCTCTACTTCAGTTGCTCGATGGCCCGTGCACGGGCTCGGTCATAGAGTTCGAGCGTATCAGAATGATCGGGCTCGATACAGAGCGCTGCCTCGCAATCTCGTGAAGTAGCTGCGTAATTTCCCATGGAATCATAGAAAGCAGCACGCAGGTGAAGGAGCTGAAGGTCGGGCTTGAACGATAAAGCTCTCGAGAGCTCAGTGATGGCTTCCTCTTCCTTGTGATCATCCATTAGCACTGCAGATTAAAAGATCAATAGATTATTGGAAAAGGGAATAAAAACATACTTAAATAACTGAAAAAGTCCTGTCTTGTCAAATTCCAAATTCATGTAATCTACAATAAACTTTAGATATGGCATTCATACAACCACTATGACATATAAGCTAGCAAAGTTTGTCCTTATATTTGAAATATGTATGAAAATTGCAGTTATGTTCCAGTAAGATTCAACCTCAGCAATAATTATAATGCAACACATGACATTCAAAAAATTATTAAAAAAAGTAATATCAAAATCAGTAATTTCTTCATCAAATTCATGAATACAATTGAAATCATTATTTTTACTAGTTTATAACACTTAAAATACGCATTTGCAAAAATATTAGAACCAAACATAAGATGCATTTGATTTCGCTTTGGTGTCCATATTGATAGTAGTGTTTAAAAATTCAGACGAACCAGGTGCAAAAAATTAAACTAGATTACTTTAATGAAATGATGCCCACCTTGAATTAGTAATAGGAAATTTTAACACTTGTTGAAAGTCTAATGCAAGTTAAAAATATGCTCTATAGATGAAAAATGGTTAGATGTCATCACTATCTTGATTTTCTGTCTCAATGTAGACTTAAACCTAGAGAATCTATTTTTAGGATCTTTAGTGATCTCAAAACACAATAATAATTCTTCAAATTTATTCAAGTATTCAATAATAATTTAATGTCTTATTTTAGAGAATTAAATTCATCAACTAATCCTCACAATATGCTAAAAGCAAAATATTTAAAATGTGTTTCGGTTCGTTGTCCGGTATAATTTTCACAAACTTTGATAATTACAAGTCTACCAAAGACAAAATCTCACCAGTAGCATTGACCTAGGAATACCTGCACAGGATCCTTCAACTATAGAGACAGAAATCCTAAACCTCCACCAAGTCATGTCCAATCTTTTCTTAATTTTTCTTTTTTAAGAAAACCAACGATAAGTCCAATCATCTGCTTATAATTGAGCCCAAATCTCCATAATTCTTAAGAAATGCCAAAACAACCACGTTAGCCAACAAACACCACTACATCATATAAAAAACATTTTGATTCTTTGAGATCAATAGATTTCTTGATTCATGCTCCATTGCTGCCTCCAATAATTGTATGACTCATGTATTTAGTTCTCTTATAATTATCTTAATCATGAATATTTTTTTATTCTTTAATAATGGAACTAAATCACTTTTTCCAATCATTAGACGTACACTCAAGGGATGTTTGGTTGGAGGGTTTTGAGTGTATTGCATTTCAAATGCAAGGGTTTTCAAAAGTTTGGTGCTTGGTTGGCTAAAAGAAAATCTAGAATCTTTTTTTAAAGAATTAAAAACCTAAACTTAGTCAATTTTGGTGGTCTGAAATTGCCCTGATGGGGCTATCTCATAATACACAACGATGATGCCAGCCCCCAATTAGCTTCCATTATGAACTCTTGTTCTCCTTTGAAATACCAATCTTGTAGAACACTAGATTGAGCGAGCTCCCCTTAAGATCTCTTCTTCTTTATACATCACCAATCCCATCGATACCTCCCCCAGCAACTTCGTGTTGTGATTTTCTTGCTCCCATAATGATATTGATCCCATCAACTATATGCTGACGGGAAAGTTGCATATAGTTATCATCAATAGTTTTTCAGCAATACTGAAAATTGATCCATGTGAAGATGTTGGAAAATTTAATCGAGTTGTTGAATACTTTAAGCAAAGACACGGTTCTTTACAGCGAATATAATTTTCCTACACATGACCTTGGGTCCACACTGCACAATTTTTCAGGGTTTCCACATTATTTCATAATGAACATATGCAAAGTTTAAAAACCTACTGTTAATCATGGACTCCTTCCTAAAAGAAATTATAATTTAGAAGGCTTATAAATGCTACGGAGATCAGTTACGTTTTATCAATAGAAAGTTAAAAAGGTAAATGATAAGTTATAATTTAGTGATATGTTCACCCAAAAGAAATCATGTTTTAGACAGCATGACTTTGAAAATGGTGATTTATAGATATGCTCAAAACAACATTAACATAATAAAATTAAGAATAAAACTTTAATAAAATAATATGTAGCTTGCGACTCCTTCAGAAACACACACAATCCCAAGGAAATCCATTGTCTTAATGTGCTTCTTAAAGGAAAAGCAGCTACTTCCCACCAATAAATTGGCATGATAAATTGTGATTTAAATCACATGACCTAAAAAAACAACCAAGTTCTTAAACAGCATACCTTTGTGGAATCCTAGATGGGTTCATTAAACTAAACTCAGGTAATAATAGACATGAAAATTCATTTTATCTTCATTCAAGAAAAAGATACAGGACCCTTGCTGATAAGATCAAACTACTAACCTGAACCTTTTAGAATTGCAAAAAAGTCTCACGAATTCAAAAAGAAATTTTCATTAAACAATTAAATGGGATTGTGATTAATGGGAAAAAGTTATAGGATATGGTATCAAATTTTAGCTGGAGTGATATTAATGATTTTTAGCCATTATTACTAATAGATAGAATAGTATCTAAATGTAAAATATGCAAGTATATTTATTCTTTAAATACGAGGTGCGTAATAAAAGTCAAAAAATGTTTTGAGGCATACCTCTCATGTGATTTTGGTGAGGCGTACGCCTCACAATCTTTTAGGCACACATTAAGGCATGCATCCCCTGAAAAGCTTGAGGCATCAGATGCCTCAAGCTGAAGTTATTTATTTTTTTAATAATTTGAATGCTTATAACCTAATATCCTAAGAAACCTATGCTCTACAACGATGACTGTAATGAGACCCACTGAGCAGTGAGATTGCTAAGGAATTTTGATTATTTGTTATACTATTAATTTGATCATTGGAAGTTCAATGTTGGACAATAGGAATGGAGGAGTGAACTTTACTGCGCTAGTCTTAGTTAATGTCTAAATTGATTTGTTATATTAAGTTTTCTTTTATTTAATTTTGATATCTTATGTTACATTGACATGTTGATGTTTGTATCACAATCCTATTTTGCAAACTTTATTACTTGTTATATTTCAAATTGCACAATTTGTTACTTGATATATATGAAAAAATGTTACTTGTTATTATATTAGAATGTTAATATGTTATTTTGTAATAATTTAATTGGATATGATCCTAATATATTACTTATTACCTTCATTTTAGTAAGCACATTTTTGGATTGTGAGACCTATGCCTCAAAATGCCTTGAGATTTAAGACTCACCTCATGGGCAGAAAATGCCTCAATATTCAATTACGCAATTCTAAACTTTGAGCATATTGGATCTATCATGCAAAAGAATATGGATGTAGACGAGGATAAAATTCTAGAATTAAGGCTAGATGATTAAAATGGAGAAATGCTATAAGAGACTATCATATAAACATAAAAATAAATTTTATAAAACTATGAGTAGGACAATTATATTATATGGATCTCAACATTTGGTTGTTAGGAAGTCATCAAAAAGAAGTTTAGCGTGAAGAAAAAAGAGAATGTTAAGATATATTTCTAAAAAATGAGGAATGCTAGATTGAGAAATGAGTATAGATCATAGGGATGATGGGAATTAGCATTTATTATAGATAAAGTTGTTAAAAATAAACTCAGCTAATTTACGCATGCAAAATAAAGGGTAGCAAGATGCATCAATAATATAGATGCCTAAATTAATCTAAAAGAATTAAGAAGAAAAAGAATAGAACAAAATAATTAGGATCGAATTAGTGCAAAATTGGCTTAATACTAGCACTCAATATAGATGTATGAAAATATGAAATCATAAATCCTTCTCCAAATAGTTGAACAAAATGTCTTAATGATAATGATGATGAATTCAAAAATAAACACCAGACTATAATTGAACAAAAGTTTCTATCAAGAGTTTGCAAATGATGCATAAACCATACGAATTTGATAGTTGTCTCAAATTAGTGATTAAAAAAGTTTCATAAAGAGAAATGGTTACATGAAAATAACAATCCCATTCAATCTTACAAGTGAAATTTTGATCAGTCATATTGAAACAAATTCAAGTCTTAACGGATTTTACTTAAGTTGTTCACCACGTTCTAATCGATTTTGAAGTAAAATTTAAGGAAGCAATGACCTAAGGAATGATGAACGTCGCTTACTATGCCTCTATGGTCTTCCACTTCAACATGGTAAGGTGTAGATCCGTTGAAATTGTGAAATTGAATGAATATACAATCAAAATAAATTCAACTATGTGTAATAAAAGTGATTGTTAAGCAATCAATACGAGCTCACCTGCAGCTCTGTATCTATAAGGATAGGTCCTTAGTGGATCCAGCTTTGATGCCATATTAAGGTCACTTCTTGCCATGTCACGATCACAATATTCTGATCGTTTTTCATATGCTGAAGCATTGTTTTTAGCTCTTTCAATCAGTTTTGTCATCTCATCGTAAGCAGCTTTCTTTTGGTTCTTAAGATAATAAACACGAGCCAGACCCTGATGAGCACGCGTGTGCTTGATGGCCAAAGCCTTAATGTAGCATTCAGCAGCTTCATCCAGCATGTCACAGTCCACATAAACGCTTCCCATATTGTTATATGCCTTTCAAATCAAGGTTTTTACAAAATCAGGCAGACTTACAAGAAAAGCATGAATAAAATATCATCTGTGAGTACCCATGGCATCCAAATACTAACCTGCCCTTTCCGGAGGTTATCAGAAGCACAGCTATTAGCTTGCTCCAACAGTTGAATAACTTTGGAGGAAGAAGCCTGGTCTAGATTTGTATCAGCTAGAGCATACGCCTTCAGAAAAAATGCTTCAAATGATCTTTGAAGAGTAATAGACTCTTCCGCCTTTGCCAGTCCTTCCTTGCGATGACCAGTGTCATATAAAATCCAACCTTCATAAATAAGCCTCTCATGTTCACTTGTCGAATGATTTCGAGCCATTCGCAGACTGTGCATTGCAGCCTTCTGACAATTGAGCCTGCATTTCCAAATACCAAGCATGATGCTGTAGAACATAAGCTCATCACATATAAACCAAGAACAAGAACAGGATTTTTCATAAACACTTTCCAGGTTGATGTTTCTATGTTCAAGTAATGGAGTGCATGTTGTTATAACATAAGCTCTGTTTCTATAATACAAAAGCAAACTAGAAGTTCCCCTCTTAACCATTATGTAATTTGCACTTTCCCCATGCACCAATACAAGTTCCACACATGTAAAACTTAACTTTTTTCTTAACTAAGTGATAGAAATCCTCTACACTACATGTTTTACTTACATATGCCAAATAAAAAGGAAAAGGCAGTCTATACAGATCACCGTCATTAACATCATCAGTGCAAATAACAAAACAAATAACAAAAGACTAGACCATCATATGAAGTTCAATAGAACTTGCCTTAGCAGGAGCAGAGATTGACGAAACCGTAAGCTACTGTTTCCAGGCTCCTTTGTCAGCATTTGGTGCACCACAGCAAGCGAACCGATATCATCGACTGCAGACCACCGATCATACAGCTGCATCCAACAATCAGCCATGTCCCAGGGCTGCACATATTGCCGAAGAGCGTCAATAAGCTGATCCCCATGCATCTTACCATGAAACATCATGTAACCTGGGTCCAAGGTCAAGATTGCCCTGATATCCTGAAGAGCCAACTCATAACTACCAAGTGCCAAATAGAACCATGCCCGCAGCTCAAGACAATCTGTTGAGACCTTGAATCCAAGAATCTTGCTGATTTCTGCAACTGCTGCACCGAGTTTATCCTCCTCCGCCAGTGTCACAGCCCTATATTTGTAAGGGTAAGAGAGAATTGGATCAAGTTCTGTGGCGGTGCTTAAGTCGGTCATCTTCTCATTGCCATTGCAATATAAAGAACGTTCCTGATGCATCCAACCATTGGAGGCGTGCTCAGATATCAGGCTATTTAAGAGCTTGTAGGCAGAGTACTTGTGCCCCTTCTTGTATTTGGCCCTAGCTACGCCGACAACAGAATAGGCGTGCCCTTCCTGCACGGCTTCCTCAAAACATTTCTGCGCATCCTTGTACTCGCCCCTCTCAAGCATTACACAGCCCAATTGATGCATTGCAAGCTGCTTCTGCCACCCAGGGGCAGCACATTCACCCATCCTCTCCAATAACATTACTGTAGTGTTCGACCTCATGTCTTCCTCCATAGCTACCTGGCTCAGGAAGTAGTATAGAGCGAACGAGGCGTGTCCAGCCATCGCAAGCCGCTCTCTGCCCTCAGGGCTGCACAAAATTACGCTGATCTCCGTTTTCTGCAGAGACCTTGGTAACTCGCGGAGGAAAACCTGTAGGCAGGCGGCGACGAGCACGTAAGCCGTTTCATCCAGCGCGTAGTCGATAAAGAGGAGGGCGTCGTCGACATTGCGGACGATGGAGGCAAGCTTCGAATCGCAAGTGGCCTTGAGTCCCTCACAGCAGAAGCGGTTGGCAAAGGCAAGGACTTCGAGGACGGTGTCCGGCGGGTAGTCGTCGAGGCTACCGCCGCGACTGAACGCTTCAACGGCGCGCATAGCACGGGCGGAGATGCTGTTATGGGTGAAATTGATACGCTCGCGACAGGCCTCGGCGAAGCCTCCGTAGAGCAGTGTGGAAAGGGGTCTGGATAGGGCGGCGATATGGGAGCGGACGCATGGGATCTCCTCGTTGCCGATGCTGAACCAGAGGTCGATGTCGCGTTCGTCTAGATCGGGTGGCCGAGCCGCGGCCGACGAAGAGGCGGATGGATCGGCGATACAGCGGCAGGGACAAGGATCGAAGGGGACGTCAGGAGCATAGCCCGAGGTAAGGGCGGCGCGGGGGCATTCAAGGGCGGGAGAGGTTGGGTAGCAGTTAAGAGGGGAAGGGAAGGGCTCGAGTTCGTCCTCCCGGCGCTCAAAGCGTAGCCAAGCAGAGAGGACGATTTTGTGGTGAATATCCCGGGAGTGGATACGCGCGGAGCGGAGTGCGCGGCGGAGCAACTTCGGGTCGCCAATGCTGCGAAGGAGGGCGCAATGCTCCAGATGGACGTCGCAGAGCGAAGAGGACGGAAGCGAAGACGAAGCCAATGAGGACATGGCAGAGGACAGGGAGCGGAATGAAGACGCGAGGGCATCGACATGTTCAATGGGACGGAGAAAAGGGTCGATAGAGGGATCAATGAGGTCGGGAGAGGGAAGTCCGATGGTGGAAATGAGGGAATCGAGAGAAAGAGTGCGATGGTGATAGTTTTGATGCTGGTTGTTAGTGGGATGTTGATGCTGGCTGATGGATTTAGAACGAAGGGAGAATGTTGGACGGAGGCTCGCCAGCTTCTCGGCTGCCGTAGCGACGGTAGACGAAGGGTTCACCGCGTATACCTGCGTTCCTTTGCACCCTTCGATCAGCTTCATGCTCCTTATACTCGTCAGGAAATTGTTCTGCATCTTTCCTATCTTCCTCTTCTCTTTATTCCTTCCTTCTCTCTTCCTTTCGTTATATCAGAACTTTGATCTCACCTCTTTTCTCTCTTTCCGTCTCCCTCTCCCCCTCTCTCTCCCTCCTTCTACCTCTCTTCTCTATAGGAAAACTGAAGAATGGAGATCTGGAAAGGCCTGCGAACGCCACGAGAGAACAGAGGGAAGGGCGTGATTCAGATTTGAGGAGAAAACAGCCCTTCCCTTCCCTTCGTTTTTATTTTATTTTTTTTAATTACCCTTTTTTTTCCTATTTTGTAAAGATCTGGAAAATGTAAAGCCCTCAGAAAAAAATATAAATATCTGGAAAAAGAAAAACAACAGAAGGTAAAATCACAAATGGCAAGAAAGCCAACGAGTGGCCTGGTTGAAAAGAGCAGGTCGTTGACGAGGCGATAGGCGTGCGAGCTCTTCTGAAGTCCCGCTGGCCTTTAGCTTTCTCTCTAAAATGCCTTAAAAACGATCGCTGCTGTGACGACGGGAGTTGCTGGAGGCCCGCATATGACGGGCCCTGCAAAGCTTAAATAAGGAAAGCTATCGGCGCATAAGATCAACGACGATCCTGCATTGCTGATCGAAGGCAACGGTCGATACGGGTGCTGTCGCATGCGACAAACGGGTTGCGCTACACGGTGTTCACGGGTGGTCCAGGTGCGTGGTACACAAGTCATTCAAGATGGATCATTCAAGACTGTGAAGGGCAAATATATCCTCATCAAAGTGCTATCGTACGAGCTAACAGTATCATTGATTGCTAGTTTCTAATGGTAGTATTTATGATGTGTTATATATTTATATCCAAGGTTTTGAAAATCGGACCGGACAACGAACCGGAACAAGGAGAGGTTCACGGTTCGACCGGTTCGACCGGTCTAACCGGGGTCGAACCGGATAATGTAATAAATAATTGCTTATATCTAAATTTATAATTTTTTTACTTTTTTAATGTTTGAACTAAAAAAAATGTTTAATAAATGTTAAAGAAATTAAAATAATGTTCTATTTTAAAATTATTTTCCTTAAATGTTATATTATATATGCTTATAATTTTGGCACATACTTATATTTTAATGTACTTAGAATGTATTATTATAAGAATAAATTAAACATGTTAATATATTTAATTTTTATCTAACCAAATAATCATTGTCTTTAAAGTTCATGTATAATAGTTAAGTTGTAATTTTAAAATAATTTTTTTAAAATCATCTAACACATAAACTCCAAAATAAAATAAATTAGCAGATAAGGCCTTAAGAATCAAATTGGACTAGTTGGTTAAATTGGCATAACCATTAGCTAATTCTTCAATCGATTTGATACACCCCCAAAAAGTTGTAGCATTCAATCGACTAGATATGGCCAAAATTAGTGGTTTAATCATAAAGCATGTGAATTAGATAGGATTTTGCTTAACTAATCGATCCAATTAGAACAGTTTAAATGGACAAAAATACTCCTAGTTAAGGGTGTCAATATTTGACACAACTCAAAATTTTGACCTGAAAATTCCGATTTCGAGTCAACCCGTTTGAAAAATGGGTCGGGTTTGGGTTTCAAATCCTGACACATTACAAATTCGGGCGGGTTCGGGTCAGCCCGACAACCCGAAATCATCTCGAAACCATCCCGCGCAATCTAACTTGTGTTCGTTTGTCCGTTCGCGGTCCATTGCAAGTAGTCATCCTCGCATTGTTGCGCTTGCCATGTTGCCTGCACGCTATCTTGCTCGTTCGCACGCACCGCACTGCATCGCTTGTGATGCGACATGCTTGTATGCGCCTGCACCAAATGCCCCCCTTCCTAGCTCACCTACACGCCCTTGCAAGCCCCCTTGTCCCGCTCTCCTGTATGTGCCCGCACTTGCCTATGCAATTGTGTGTTCGCTCGCATGCACGCGACCGCTCTCACCAGTACATTTGCCCTCAACTTGAGTCAACGGGCCGGGTTTGGTCAACTCGGGTTAGGTTTGGTCCGGGTTTGCATTTCTGATATGTTTGTCTAATCGGGTCGTGTTCGGTTTGGATCAACTAAAAGCGGCTCGATTTCAAGTTGGACCCAAACCTGACCTGAAACCAATTTTGACACCTCTACTCCCATCATCCTCTAAAATAACACATATGATGTCATTTCCCCTGTGAAGGGTAACTCTGTCGGGTGCACCACTATCCTTTGATTGTTTGCTCTTCACCCTATGAAGGCCAACTCTATTACACTCACCATTGTCATTTGAATCATTGTCCTTTAGCCTATTTTCTAACCAAAGTTGCTGATGTTTGTTTTTAATAATTCATTCATTGCTTATCTTTGCAAAAGTTAACTGATTAAATTTTCTTCAAAATATGTTATTATTTGTTAAGTATTTACCATGAATTTAATTTTGATTATTTGATATTTATGAAAATTAAAAAGATAGAGCTTCATTAAGACATTTGTTAATTGGTTTCATCAAAGCTTCTACAAATTCAATGGCTAAAAAAATGAACTATTTTATAGAAATTTTGTTGACTCTAGCAAAAATAATTCTTAAGATTTAATTTACATGTAATGATGAGCAAAAATATGCTTTTAGTTTATAGCAAGTGGTGCTATGTACTTATATATAGAGAGATAACAGGAGGTGAAGGGTTCATATTTTTCATTAGTGATTTTCCTTCTTATTTCAAAATGAGAGCTAAATTGTTAATAGATTACAAAAAAGAATGTAAGTTCCTTATTGAGATTTATAGATGTTGCTAAAAAGAGGCATAATGCACTTTGATTGCTGATGGGTGGTCAGATACAAAAATAAAACTTTGATTTATTTCTGATATATTGTCCCATGGTTTGTTATTTTAGAATTTATTGCTACCTATGATATCAAGAAGATGTTATTACTATATCTTCTTAATTTATAAAAATAGTTGAATGAGTTGGTCTATAAAATATTATTCAATTTATAACTGATAATACTACAAACTACAAAAAAAAAGAAGAAAACTTATACATGAAAGATATGAAGATTTATTGGTCACACTGTGCAACACATTATTTGAATTTTACTTTAAAAGATATTGATAGTACGACTTGTGTTATGAATCTTTGCAAAGGTGCATTGCAGGTGATGATATTTGTTTACAATCATGTCTTTATATTATGTGGTTAAGGAAAATGTCAGGTTGGGCAAAAATAATACATTATAAAGCATCATGTTTTGTTATAACTTTTATAACTTTACAAAATGTATATGATCGTTAACATGATTTACAAGTATTTATAACCAACAAGTACTACATTGACTTAAAGTTGGTAAACACCACTAAAGGGAATGTTGCAACATCTATTATTTTGGATAATAATTTTTACAATGGTTATTTGATTATGTTAAAATTATTATATAGTTATTATAAGTAGGTTAGTCAAATTAGAAGCCATCATTTGATTATATTAAGTATATAGAAATATTTTAATTTGATGATTTGGAAGATTTTGAGGGATTAATAATTCTGTGTGGACGCCGAATACTGTCTGGAGACCAACCAGAATAAGCCACGTCACCCCTATGCTCGGTACCGTGACTCGGTACCGGGCACATTCAGGTTGGTCTCCGAACAGCATTTTGCTTCCGATCTCTGCACAAAATAATTTCTCCTTTTGGGGAGGCAAATTTTTGAGAGGCAGTATTCAAGCAGGCAACTTTGGGTGATAACCTTTAAATATGTTGTAGTTTAGACTACATTAATTTTATTTATTTCATGTTTAATATTTATTTTATGTTTTCATTGAGGCAACCTTTGGGTATAGAATTCATGAACTAGTAGCGTATCTTGCACTTATTTGACTTTAAATGATACCTATTAAAACTTGTAATATATTGGTGCAAAAGGTTATTAAATAATATTTTATCTCAACTTATATTTCTTCGTATCTTTTTAGTTAGTGCGAATTTTCTCTCATACTTATTTCATTTTAGAGCATCAATTTCCTAATGAAAGGAATTGAATATTTCAATGAATCCTCACACCTATAAATTAAGAGATCAATCATTTAAATATCAAAGTGTTTAAATTTAAAATTATAAAAAAATATTTCTTATAAATGATATATATTTTATAATATGATTTTTTTTTATATTTTATCACATATTACATCATTATTATTTTTAAGTAAATGTAATATTTAGTACATCAACCAGTTCAAGTTTTTTGTTTAACCTTAGAACCATGATTCTCTTATACCTTCAATTTAAGGTCTTATCCCATTTTCAAAACCTTGATAAAGGTGAATGAGTGCTTAATTTCTAATTATGAAGTTAATTTAATAGAAATTAAATTGAATTTCTTAACAAATTGAAAATTGTTATTATTATTATAAAGCTAATTCTATTCAACAACCCAAGTCAACAAATATCTAGATAAACTTTGAATGAAAATTTTATAATTTTAAAATGTTACATCCTCAATGAATCATTAGACATAAATATATTGTCAATAAATCTTAAATTACATTGGATAATTTTGTATATTACAGCAAATGAATAAAATTATTTTTATTTGAACAAGTCTAATAGAATCAAATGCAAATTATTAATAATTCTGACCATTTATGCACCCCACCTTTTTTTTTTTTTTTTCAGATAATATTTTAATACATCATATCATATGGTTTTTATAAATGATTTTAATTTAAAACAACCCCAAATCAACACCAACATTGTAGCTAGCTAATACATGAAGACTTGCAACAACAACAACAACAACATCAAGCCTTTATCCCACTACGTGGGGTCGGCTACATGAATCCTTTTTCTCCATTGTGTTCTATTAAAAGTCAAATTCTCATTTAAACCTAATAAAGAAAGGTCATTCCTAATATTTTCTAACCAAGTCTTTTTAGGTCTACCCCTACCTTTCTTAACATAAGTCAAATCTAATACCTCTACTCTCCTAACCGGGTCATCGAAAGGCCGTCGTTTTATGTGACCAAACCATCTAAGGCGACTCTCTCTAATTTTATCTTCTACTGGAGACTTGATAGAACAAAAATAATTTTCTAAGTTAATTAGTTTGTTGTGTTAGTTTTAAGGTCTTATACAATGTAACTGTCCATGAGTGTTGAAAAATAAATAAAATTAATTGAGTTTTATTTAAATTACATTTTAGTTAATAAGACAATTATTAAATATATTTTGTGAATTTTAGCTTGATTGTTATTTATTTGCTTTATTCCAAATTTATTAACTATATAGGTATTGCATATGAATTATATAATAAGTGGTCATGTAGATAAAGTGATGAATATGCTCTTTGAAAACTTGTATGTTTTGCAAATATATGTGGTTTTAAGTTTCCTATTTAGTTTATTAAATTTGTTAACAATACTTTTAAAAGATGCTTATGTTAATTATTTTATGATTTATTTAATTAAAAATATTAGCTCAATGA